CTCCTCCTCCTCCTCCTCCTCCTCCTCCTCCTCCTCCTCCTCCTCGTCCTCCCCCTCCTCCTCCTCCTCTTCCTCATCCTCATTATCATATTCCTCCTCCTTTTCCTCCTCCTCCTCCTCCTTCTCCTCCTCCTCCTCCTCATCCTCCTCCACTGCCAGTTTTTAGGGCGGGGCCAAGCGTTTCGCCTGAGACTTCTTCACCACTCATGACTCCGAAGCCTCAAAACTAACAGCAGCTCCAAGTATTGAGGGCGGTTCCTTTTCAAAATGTGGCTCTCGCCTTAGCGCCGCGCACAATCATTTTGGACAAATTGCAAGGGGTTCACGGATTGAGGGTGGGTCGTTTTCAACATGTTGTTTTCGCCTTAACGCGGAGGGCGCCTGGCTTTCAAAATGTGGCTCTCGCTTCGGCACCGAACACATTCGTTGTAGAAAATTGCAAGGGCTCAACAGATTGAGGGCGGTTCCTTTTGAAAATGTGGCTCGCGCCGTAGCACCGCGCACATTCGTTTTGAAAATTTGCAAAAGTTTCACGGCTCCCCTCATCAATGCACCAGAAATGGTGTTTTGGAACGATTCAGGACTATGCAGGCACAACACATACGTTGATTCGCGGTGTTGGAGACGTAGGAAGGGCGTTCTGGCATGCTTCAAGATCGCCAAGACGCAAAAGTCAAATTGATCCGTGGTGTTGGAAGTCCGAGAACAATATTCTGGCATTCTTTAGGGCCTTCAAACGGGTGTCTTCCAACGAGGCAGTTCCATCAACGGAAATGAACCATTGTAGGGGCCTATGAAGAGGGAGTTCGGATGGAGGGTTTACTCCAACATCGCTGATGACTCTTAGGTTTACACTGGTCCCCCTCCTCCTTTTTCCACCTCCTTCTCCTCATCCTCCTCTCCTTTTTCCTCCTCATTCCCCCCCTCCTTCCCATTCCCCATCCCCGTCCTCCTTTCCCTCTTCTTCATCCTCCTCCTCCTCCACCTCCCCCTTTTCCTCCTCCTCGTCCTCCTGTTCCTCTTCCTCCTCATCATCATCGCCATCATCACCACGCAACTTGTTCAGAATCACGTTGATGCGAGTACCGCTGCAATTTCTCTACGTCAAACAAGAGCACAATAAGTTTCCTGCAAAGGTGCCGCCAGATGGCGGGTTTACTTAATTGAACCAAAGCAGGCATATGTTCAGCGGCATGGTGCCTATATAACAAAGAAGACCACCCATGTGATTCTGCATGCCGAAGTTGTCACGAGCAGAAAAAGAAGAAACACATCGACAATGAGTAATCAATTGGAAGAGGCTACAGCATCGAAGGGAGACAGACTAATTGTCAAAACGCAGCTAAGGATATGAAGGGATCCCCGTGCTTTGAGGATGTACCACACCATGGAACACGTTTCCAATGCTGGGAGCAACGAAAGGTGAAACATGTTACACAATCATCGGCCTGACGGGCGGCTTGACATTGACTGGGCATAAGGCTGCTTGCCCTCACTTCCCCCTGGCCCTGACGCCCCCGCGTGGATTTCCAGTCGCGCGATAAAAAAGTGCCCGCCATGATTCATTGACGGCATACTCGAGCCTGTCCATGTCCAAGCACGCGTCCCGGTTCTCCCCGCTGGCCGTGGGACGACTGATTGCGCTGTCCTTAATCGCGTCGTTACGTCCGTCCAGGCCGGCAATCTGGGCGGCCGAGACGCGGCGAAGTGCAACGGCAACCGCTGCGGCCACAAGAACCCCAATAATCTTGACCTGAAAAGAATGGACTGCCCAGGCGTGGTCATTCCGCCTCAAGCGGCGATCGAAACCTGGGAGGCGAGCCTGCAACGCGATCCTCTCGCCAGGCTTGGCGCCACGATTCCTCGCGCTCAAATGTTTCCGCGCGCCGTCACGCCTGCCACGTATCATCCGACTCTTACCTGGTAGGCACAACTTGGCTTTAACGTTCCTCTGGCGCTGGGCCACGTCAGGTGACGGAGTCCGATCCATGCCGACGCAGCATGGTAACCTCTACCTCGCACCGGAACTGGCGAAGTACACCTCCAGCCCGTTGACGATCGCCACGCACTCGACGGCGAGTTCCTTGGCGAGGAAGCGCAACGCCGAAGCGCCCGCGGAACGCGAGTCACGGTCGATTTCCACCGCCAGGTCACAGCACTGGAAGTTGCAGTCGATCACCGCGTGGTTGCCCCGCCAGAGTACGCCGAACCACGTGGGCAACAACTTAGCACGACGTTAGCACGCCACTGATTGCGCGATCCACCGGTTACCCAAGTCGAGAATCTCGCGGGAAAGATCCGCAGGTGACATAGGGTCAGGAAAATTACGGCTATCGCCAGAACTGCGACTGTAGCGCGCTGACCAGCGCCACCCAGTCATCACGCTCTTCACGCTCATGGCTAAAAGCGCCACGCCAAGCTCCAGGTCCAGAGCAGAGCTGAGTAGGCAGCATCATCCACGAGTCCCCGTGCACGAACCTGAACGAAGATTCGAAGTCCTCACGGTCTTCTCCGATGATGAAATGTTCAATGACTTCGCGAAGGTCACAGCGCCGCTGGCCGCCCCCCCCCCCCCCCCCCCATGACCTTTCAGGGCCAGCAGGGGCGGGCGCGAAAATTCGGGTCGCACTTCGCGCGCCGCAGAAGCATCACAAAGTCTATCAAAATCTGACCTGGCCCCCCAGCTGACACCCGAGGCGGACTCACAATAAAATCCGCCCGTGCCACCGCGCCACGTTGAACGGCCGACGGGGGCGCCGCGGCGTCGGGCGCCCTAGCGGGGGGGCCGCTAACTGCCGGCCGCTCCGATTGCCCCCCGAACTCTGGCCCTCCGCGCCAGCCACCGCCAGCACCTCGGCTGGCGAAGGAAGTGGCACTTCGGTCGGCGACGAAGGGGCCCCGCCCCTCGCGGTTCCTGCACCGCTGAATCACTTGGCTCGCATTTGAATGAGACCCCTGGTGCGACGGAGTCGAACTCAAGGCCCCTGAACCGCGGCCCTCGCCAGCGCTCTCGCCGCAGGCCCCGGCGGGTGGCCTGCGTCGCCAGCGACTCTGTTTTCTGACCCTCGGCCCGGGCAACCTGCGAAGGCAGAGCTGACCGCGACTTCGGCACTGCCCCGCGCGCGGGCGACTGCGACTCACTGCCCAGATCGGGCACGGGGGCGCCGCCCCTGACAGCGTCGGTCGCCGCGCGGGATCTTCTGAGCAACGCCGCCCAAGTCTAACCCGATTCCCCCCGCGGCGCCCGCCTCGCCCAGGCCGCCAGGCACCGCGTCGCCCATGGCCGCGCTTACTTCGTTGATCCTGGCAACGCAGGGTCCGTTATACTCGATGATCTTGCGGCGCCTAGCGCGACGTTTCTGGGCCCCGGCGACTTCCCCCGCGGCGGCCGCGCCACGCCCCCCCCCATTGTCGCCCGCGCTTTCGCCGCGTCGACCGCCGCAACCAGCTCCTTGCCACAGTCGACAAGTGCTTCACAAGCCGATGTAGCGCCGGCCTGCCGCAGCTGCTCGGCCGGAACTCAATCGCCCATAGCCTCGGCAAAATAATTTGCCTCGACCCCCAGTTCACGCGTTGACCTCGCCAGGGGGCCCACCCGGCGAATGGCGCAGCGCGGGGGCCAAACCCGCCGCTGGGCGAAGTCGCGAGCGCGCGCGAAATCCCCGGCTATCTGGCGACTCGGGATCTCGGGCGGCGCCGCGCGACCAGTCTCAACCCCGTGGACGGCTGCGGTTTGGACTGGGATCAGCTGGGTCACGCCTGCGCGGCCACGCGGAAGATCGCGCGTTAAACAGGGCCTGCCGCGCCCATCATGAGAGCATTGTAAGACATGGGCAGTTGGGGTGGTAAGCATCGGAGATGGCGAGGCATTGACAGACTGCAGCAATCCGACATGGCTGCGGCTACCTCATCAGACCGCATGCGCTGCCAACTCCCTCCTGCCTGCGGGCCCGCAAGGTTCTCGCGCGCACCCACCACCTTGCCCGACTGCTTCCTGACGCCACAACTGACAAGCTTCGGCGCGTCTTACCTGAACGAACCCTCTCCTGTCGGCGATGGCCATC